GTCTAAAATTGAGATATTTGAAAAGTACTTACTTGATAAAGTGTTTTATTATCAATTATTTTAAATTTCTAAAGGTAACAAATTTTTAAAAATAAATTTTTTATCAAAAAATTAGTGCCTCAAAACGATATGCGCAAATTTTAAAAGACACCTACCTAAATTGATTTTTTCTGCTCTTTTGAAATATTTAATCAGATATGCTAAATTTGGTTATACAAGGTGTTGTTTATAAAGCGGAAAGAAATGGTAAAATTTTGTTAAGCCGGACCTGGATTTTAATTATTATTTTTGTGGCATTAGTTTTGTTACATTGAGATAAGTCTACCTGCCAAATTTACATTTTTTATATCGAGTGGTTGTTGTGTTTTGGCTAAAAACAAATTCAGGCGAAATTCATCTAGGTACTGAGATGTGATAGACCTATTAATAACGGATGACAGGTTCGGGGTAGAACCACTTTCAAAAACTAAACGTAATTTACGAAATTAATCAAAAGTGACACAGGTCAGAGTTTAGCAGCAAACAACGTAACTGCAGAATTGTTTATAGTCTTACAAAACGCGGCTAACGCCAAAACCAAGAATGATCAGTTGCATAATACGGAGTGGCCCAAAAGTCTGGAAACAGCCAATTATCTCGTAAATTACTAGTCCTAATTCTACAAAATTTGGGGTACACCTATTTTGGGATACGGAGATTTTAGATTTGATATTTGGAATATTGCCAGATTTGCCGTTTCTCTTATATTATAAGTAACTTTGGTTTTTCAAATTGATCACCCTGTATATTCAGTCATTATTGGAATCTCCTATTCAATAAAAGTTCAACCATATGTAACACTTATGATTATATTAAGTCTGGAAGGTCTCAAATAAATAAAACCATCATGGAGAAATGTGGTATACGCATTCTACCATCATCGATTAGGGTACTGTCAACCCACAAATGGAGCACATTTTGAACACTTGATAAAGTTATTATTATGTTAAAAATGTTGTAATCTTTTAATTGTTACGTCTAATATAGTTGAAAATAGTTTGTATTAAAAAATTTATTGAGAGAATTCGGCGTTGCCAGACTTCTGTTTTATTTATTTAAGACCTTCCAGACTACAAAAAATCATAAGTGTTACATATGGTTGAACTCGTATTGAATAGCAGATTCCAATAATGACTAAATATACAGGGTAATGAATTTGAAAAACCAAAGTGACTAATAATATAAGAAAAACGGCAAATCTAGCAACATTGCAAAAATCAAATCTAGATTCTCCGTATCCCAAAATAGGCGTACCCCAATTTTTTTAAAATTAGGACTAGCAATTTGCGAGATAATTGGCCGTTTTCAGACTTTTGGGCCATTCTGTATATCCCCAGTAGTAGTGCATATCACTTGTTAAAGAGATGGCACTAAGTTTGCAGCACTATATTAAATTAAATTATTCGCTAGTTATTAAGAGATGTTTGTGATATACAGTGTCGGATATCGAATGTTTTACAATATGTTATGCTAATGTCTTAGTGAAAACTACAAAGAGTTAAGGTTAGGACGAGCAGGAATGGAATACTATGAACGTAGCCAGCCTGCTGCGTGGGGATGTATCTCGCCTGTTCATATTACAGAGTCACAAGGCAACATTCATATTATTCGTTTCCTGATCGCACTAATGCTAACTCTTTAGTTTTCGCTTCAATGCTAGTAAAGCGTATTGAGAAGTGTTCAATAGCCGATACTGTATATAAATGCTAAAATCAACAAGTGAAATAATTTTTTTTAGTTTAAATGGACTCATACTTCGAAAAAGAAAAAAAACTGAAACAGAAAATTATTATACTTGAATTTTAAAGGCTGTTGCCACTGGAAAACTATTATCTAGGGCTAGGATGACAGCCATAGGACCCCCTCCTTGAATCGTGTCCATAGGAAAGATCTTAGTTAAATTATAATATTAAAGGGTGTTAACTAAAAAATAGGTAAAATTATTACAAACTTACGTCAAAAGTGGCACCTACATTAAAAGAAGGGAAAACTGAAAACATAAATTGTTATACATGAATTTTAAAGGCTTTTCCCACTGGAAAAGTATTATCTAAGGCGGGGACCCTTGGATGACAGCCATAGCAATCCCTCTTTGAATCCTCTTTTTCTGAGTTTGTATGTTTTTCTTTCCGTATTAAATATGTAAGCACTTAATACAACACAATAAATATCGCTGAAACAAAATCAATAGTAATAAACGGTATAAATTTCGTAGAATAAAAAAATAAAAAATCACTTGTCATCAATACTGACACTTTACGCTTTCGCTTATCAAAAACTTCGTCTTCAACCAATGAACGGGAGACTGGCATTTGGAAAAACATGGGGATTAAAACCAAAAATGGTCCACAGGCTATATTTAGCAATAACAAGACCAATGATAACTTATAGAGCGGTTGTTTGGTGGCCAAAAGTAAACCAGAAAACAGCCCTCAATACCCTCTCAGGAGTACAGAGGCTGGCATGCCTTTGTATTACAGGAGCACTGAGAAGTACACCGACAGCCTCTATGGAAATCATTCTAAACCTCCCACCCCTTGACCTAGTCACAAAGGGGAAGGCCAGAATGAGTGCATACAGACTGGAAATCTCCAACTACTGGAACCCACTGGGACATAATATATTATAAAACATACCAGAATAACACATGAAGTAATTGATTCTATTTTTAATATGGGATCAGATCACATGACACCCCTCCTAACCTTTAACAGACTCTTCCAGGTCAACTGTAACTGGAACGAGGTAAATAAGGAGACAGATAAATACTTGCTTAGCGGTCTCGTATGGTATACGGATGGATCTAAAACTAACAAGGGAACAGGCTCTGGCGTACATGGAGTTAAACCCAAATGCGACATCATCGTCTCACTGGGAAAACATGCCACTGTATTTCAGGCTGAAATACATGCAATCGAATTGTGTGTACGAGAAGAAGGAAGTACAAAAAACAAACCATCCTAATTCTCTCAGATAGCCAGGCAGCTTTAAAGGCTCTTGATTCAAACAGAATTAAGTCAAAGCTTGTCTGGAACTGCTTTGGAATACTAAACGATCTGGCAACCCACAACAAGGTAAAACTGTCGTGGGTACCAGGGCACAAAGGTATCGAAGAAAATGAAAAGGCTGATTAACTCGCCAAAGAGGGATCAGATCTACCATTCACAGGACCCGAACCTGTATTTGGGATAAGCAAAACTTCTGCTCGACAGGCAGTGAACAGGTGGATAACCACAAAACACCAGATTCACTGGCAACAGATAAGAAGGCACAGAATCAGTAAGCTCATGGTAAGGGGACCAAACCCACGCATGGCTACTGAGGCACTACAATTCGCAAGGCCTCAGATATCCGACATTGTGGGATTACTAGCGGGGCACTGCTTGCTGAAACACCTTTATGTAATGGGATTACACAATGATACCACTACGTGTAGACTTTGCATGGAAGAGGAAGAAACCTCATTCCATGTGATCTTTGAATGCGAAGCTCTTACTGGGCGACGTTTCATCCTTTTCAGCCTAGAACCGGAAAGAACGCCCCAGGAACACTTGGTAGGGAACCTATTAAAACTAACCAAAGACACAGGACTATTCCAAAGATAGTACCTGAATACGGGGAAAGCAGGGGAATACAATAGACCCAAGAGGCCGCAGTGTTCTGGACCAAACCTAACCTGCTTACAATCGATAAAGACCAATGAACGTGCCGATCTCAGACCTGTCAAAATTCAAAACGATACTAGCGCCATGTAGCTCTGTGTCTGGCCGCAGCGTAACTTAAAGCCATTTCTTGAATCCCAGTGACATTACTATAGAGGATATATTGTGATCAGTCGTCATCACGGCTCTCTCATCCAAGGAAATGACGCTAGTTGGTTAAAATCGAAAAATCAAACGGCGGATAATTAATTAGTATAATGCAGTCATAAAACAAAATTTCAGGCAAGAGAGTCAAACAGTTATCTACTATTACTTTCTATCAAAACTAATTCAATAGCTAAAGTCAAAATTAAAACAAAGGAAAATTTCAAACGTTAATTTGGAAATTCAGGAAATATGTTTTGCGGAAAAAATCTACCCGTGAAAATAGAACGAATTTATTGCATTCAAAATATTGATTCCACATTTATTTTTAAGTATCTTGTATTCTTTTAAAAAAACAAAAATTCGGAAGTCGCGAAATATTTTAAAAATATATTTTTAACTATCAACTAAATATGGTTTATTAATTTTAAAGTATTTAAACTAACTTTATTCCAAAGTCACGGTACTAAGTAAAACTTAATCAAAATGCGGAAAAACGTGAAATATTTAACAGTAATATTTCCCACGATAAAATAAAACGGCTTCAAACAGCAGTGAAACGAAGCAAAAATCTCTATCACACGACCATAGAAACGTTAATATAAAAACCTGGTGTTTACCTTTATTACGGTAAAAAAAAAGTCGAAGATATCCTGTTAACGCTCTAATTACGGCAGTGGTCGTGAATAGAATGATGCTTCGGGCGGTTGCTGGTTCAAACCAAAGTTATTTTTCTACATATAGGAAAGTGTCACAAATTCCTATAGGAAAAGATTCCTACAAGTCGAGAATCGACTCCTTGAGGTCGAGGTTCCGTATCGAAGGCTAGACTTGGGGAAACATCAGCGATACACGTTTCGAGCGACTAGAATAATTTTTTTCCAGCAAATCTGATTCCCAATCAAAGAAAATTACTGCACAGGGTGCATCCATAAAGTTGAAGTAAAACAAAAATTAAAATACAAATCCGGTAATTGATTAGGAATATAGTAATGAAAAATTACTTCACTACAATACTAACTGAATTTCCTATAAAATTACATTTTTAAAAAATACGCCAGGTAAAAGTGAATGGAATGATGTATGACAATTGAATATTGAATCGAATTAAATCGTTTCATTTTCCTGGAAGTTTACCCTGTAAATATTCTATAGGTTTTAGGTTGTGGCACTGGAGGTACACTGGGTGGTATTAGCCGAAAGTTTAAAGAAATTTCGCCCCAAACACTCATTATAGGAGCCGATCCATACGGATCAACGTATGCCCAACCAGACAGTCTTAACGAAACTGATGTAAAATTTATTGAAATCGAGGGAATTGGTTACAGTGAACTTTTACCTCCAGTATGCGATCGATCAATGGTACATAAATGGTACAAATTTCATGATAAAGAAGCTTTAACTATGGCAAGAAGGCTCATTAAAGAGGAAGGGTTACTAATAGGTAAGTGTAACATTTTTCCAGTTTTTACAAGTTTAATGTGAATTTTTAACAAAGTTTACTGTTTTTCTCTATTTTTTCTGAATTTTGTTAATTATTTGATCTTCTTGCTCAATTTAATTACTTTTTTCAACATATGAATCCCGCTAGAGCACAGATATTAAATAAATAAATTGTGCGGGAATACCTCAAAAAATTAAAAAATCCATCGAAAAGGATTGGCGTAAAAACAAAGCATAAAAAATCTAAAATATGGACGCAACAGGATTTAGGGGCCTATTCAGTAACTCTGAACGATGTCGTTAATAGACTATAATCGTTTACAGACGACTTTTCTTATTCAGTAGACAATGATTGTCGTTGAAAATAGACAAATATGGTTGTAAAATTGTCGTTCATCAACGATAGCCAAAGAGCTGTCGTTAATAATATGAAGTGTCGTTATAGTGATTTTTGCATTCCCTCTCATTTTTCATTGTGAATCAGGATGTGTTCTAAATAATAAAAGCACTTTTTTACAAATTTTACAACTAAATTGCCATCTACCTAATACAGCAAGTACAATTTGTAAGGAATTTTTTTCTAATTTATTTAATTATTTTAAAAATAAATCGGATTCAAAGTTAAGATTGCCCGTATCCTACGTTGTCGTAATTGATACGAAACCGTAGGCGACTTGATTATACATTATACAAACACATTTTGATATAAAAAAGAAAAATAATTTCAACTCAAATGTGACTAATGTTACGTGAATTTAATTTTTAATTAATTTCAAATTTATTTTTAACAACTTCTCCATAACCCCTCATAGTGACAAACGTTAAAAGACCGCTCGTTTGCCTGGATTCCAAAGTACGGCTTGCGCGCCTGTGCGGCGTTTCTTCTACGTTCACGCTGCCGAGAAAAATATATAAGTAAGTTGGCGAGGCTTGAGCTTTTTTGTCGTCGAACGAATTCAGAGCTTAACATGTTAGTGTTGTGTCGACAAATCTACTAATTTGTAGTTGTTAAAGTTATTATTCCATATTTATCTTGTGTCTTTCGTATCGTATCGTGCTACTGTTGGGATAATTGTCAGTGGCTCCAGGTAGTAGCGGATATATTCCAAGTAGTCCCCAAGTATTATCGGACATATCTCCAAGTAGTATCGGAATCTCCAAGAATCGGACAGATTCCAAGTATCGGACAGATTTCCAAGTAGCTGACATTTTTTTTTTTTGAACAATATCTCCAAGTAATAGACTGATCTTCAAGCTAGTCGATATATCCAAATCAAGATCACCAGGAGACAATCCCCCATACAGGGAAGTACCGCAGTAACGCCACATGGTCGAAACAAAAAAAGTACATAAAGTTTTGTATCCAAGTCAATTTTAAATGTGATACAAAATTACATAACATAGCTTATTCATTAATAGTCAATTTAAATGTGATAATTTGTAACAACTTTTCTTTCTATTTCATAACATGTATTAAATTTTCTCCCTTTCTTTTATTTGCCTGAACTCGTAACAGATATTTTGAGGTACTAGAGACCGACTCAATTAAACAAGTAACTTAAAAACTTGGTGGAGCTCAATATTTTTTTGTCGTTATAGTATCTTTCCTTTTATCGTAAAGTAGACTTTGGCCCGCGAACTGGTCAAGCTACTCTGATTTTATTTGTCCTGGTCAATTTATGAATCCACGTAGTACCAGCAATTTGAGCCAAATTACTTTAAAGTATAATTGAATTCAAAAATAAAGGTAACACCAAGACGTAAAATAAAATAAATAAACACAAAGCCATGTGTCACATATTACGAGCGACCATTTGTCTCCAGGAAACAACTATTCCTTTGGCTAGTACCGTAACAGATATTGAATTATATCCAAAGGAAAGACAGCAGAGATAAAAATTAAATTTCAACACTCTACCTTTGATTTTGCTTACTAGTAGAACGTTATTATTGGACCGGTTTCGACCTTATTAGGACTCTTCATCAAGAAATAGGTAGTTCTCCATTCCAGTTACTAATGGAATTAACGAAAGCAACACATTCACTAGTATACATTAATGTTAGTTACGAATAGAAAAGTATTGAAGTAGTGAAAATTGTGTCGCCATCTGTTCCTAGTAAGCAAAATCAGAAGTAACTTTGATGCCCAGATTAAAAACAAGGTAACCAACATTACTGTACACACAACCAAACTTATATGGAATCATTTATTATTTTTCATAATTTTTGAGATGTATGAACATTTTTTGTTTATGAATAAAACTCAGTCCTTACCAAAGACTTTTAGTGATAAATAACCCACAAAGCAATAAAAATAATTAGTTGACAAAATAAACACAATGGTATTTTTTTGGTTTCTGAAACGAAATGAGATTTAAATTTTTAATAGCCGAAAAGCAAGCTTCTATTCGCCTTGGCATACTTCTTATTAAATTGTGAACATTGTCTTGTGGTATGTTTCCCATTTGGCTAATGCTGCATCAATAAGCTGTGCGACATTTTCTGCATTGTTTCGACGAGCTCTACCCCTTCTTTTGAGCTGTTCCCACAAGTGTTCGATAGGATTTAGGTCTGGTGAACATGCAGGCCAGTCTAAAAATGTGACACCTTCTGTTTCAAGATATGCTGTAACCACTCGGCTGGTATGGGGAGGTGCATTATCGTGCATAAAGATAAAATTATCCCCAATTGCAGCTCTCCAAAGCCTAACGATTGGTTCTAACACTAAATTGACATACCACGGACCGATTAAAGTTTGTTGAAGTGGTAACAATGGAGTTTTTTTCTTCCAGCATAATACATCCTCTTTGATATCTTGGGACAGATCTGGCAGCGTGGAGTCTCGCTCATCTTCCTGGAGCTCTGAGAACCCGAATTGGATGGTTATCTGATCTTAGGCCAATTCTGGTCTCATCCGAAAAAAGAACATTTTGCCAATTCTCAGTTGTCCAGTTTTGGTGTTGAAGGCACCAATTTAGCCGATCAATTTTGATTTGCCTAGATAACGGTGGGGGACCCGTAACTCTCTCCTACTGTACAACCCTCGAACGCGAAGTCTTTTTCTTAGGGTTTCAACTGAAACTTTTACACCTGCAGCTTCCAGAAGTTGTCGAAGTTGTCGTTGTAGCTCTAGATATGAGACACTTGGATTTCTTATAGCAATTTGACATACAAAGCGATCCTGTTGTTCAGTTGTGACTCGTTGACGACTTTGTCTGGGCCTAGTTCCAAGTACCTTGCGTATGTTTTCGATACAACACACTGGGTATCGCCTACTACTTCTGCTACGTCTCATTGGGGCATTCCTTGTTCAATGAAAGCAATAATTCTTCCCCTCTGCAAATCTGTTAGTCCAAAATAAGGCATTTTTTTGTTTTTTGGACCTAAATAAAATTACCGGAGGATCGTGATTTTGTTTGGGGGTGATTGCGGAAATGACAGCGTTCATTAAAATCACTCCTAAATCGTTACTCGGGTGTTTTCGGGGATGCCGAATTCAATTCTGGCATTAGATTTCCCCGGGGGAAGTGTAACTCAGGACAACTTTCTAGAGAATAGCAAAAATAAGGCACAGATCATTAAATTTTTCCAGGAAAAATTGAAACGGGCTAATATAATGTCTCAGCAGAGTGTAGCTGATACGGATGTTGAAATTGTGCTAAAGGCCATTGAGACTCCCGAGTAACGATTTCTGAATTTCCAGTCGTTCCTATAATGGTGCAAATAATGATGCAATTGAAAAATGCATTTTCCGGCCCAAAAGGCATCTTTCAAAAAATGGCAATTGAATAGTGTAAACTAATTTAATAATTTATTTGTTTTTGTGTTAGTAGTGACTATATTTTCCTATATATAACAGGGAAGAACTAAATTAATGTTTAAAATGCCGGGCTGTGCGGTGGAGATATTTCCGAATGCCACAAAATATGGGTAAATTCTTATCGAAGAAAGTACAAACTTAATTGAAGTTGCCCTATACACTTTGAGGAAAGTAGTTGTGAGATTCCTTTAAACATAGACGCAAGAAAAGGAAACTGAATTCCACCAGGTGCATGGGCCTCATTAAGAGGAGTATTTACTTGGCTTTAGAGCAGAGCATGTAAGGGTTTCGTAGTACCCCACTTTTAAAGTTTATTTTTAACATATTTTAAAAGAAAAAAATATGTGCTTGTAGGTAAAGGGTAAATCTGTGCTCCTCTGGAAACACTTTTTCAAAATTTCAATTTGTTTTTTCTAAAAAAAAACACAAAACTCGACTTTTCTGATCCATTTTCTCAATTTTTTTTTAGAAAAAACTAAATTGAATTTTGAAAAAGAGGTTCCAGAGGAGCATAGATTTAACCTTTATCTACACGTACATATTTTTTTATTTTAAAAATACTTAAAAATAAACTTTAAAAGTGGGGTACTACGAAACCCTTACATTGCAAGATTTTTCGTCTGGCAAGTGGCGCCTCTGTTAGATTTTAAAGAAATTAATATTTGTGCATGAAAACAATTTACAAAATATTTTACTGATGTTTTACGAGGGATAATTAAAGTTTACGGATTTGTAGGTGTTTTGGCAATTAGTGTTGCCTACCTATTAGGGACCATTGCAGTTCTAAAAGGCATACCTGCGCACAATTTTTAAATGTTAAAGTCAGTAGCGACTTGAATTCGAACGTGAAAAGAATAGATTACGGTCTTATAATTATTAATATTCTTTCGATATTTCTTTTGCCGATTTCGGGTGTTAATAATAACCACCTTCCTCTCTATCCCTTCTATTTTCCCTCCATAGGTGGTGAAACCCTAATATTTGAGAACGAACCAGCATCTACCGGTAAGTTTTTTATCATTCATTTCGGTTGTGTACATTTTTATACGACATTTTTTTGGTCCTTCGAGCCGGATGACTTAATAAAAGTTTTAAAAATAAATCAATTTAATTTTTCTTTTGATTTCATTGTCAAATTAGTTGTCGAGTTAAATTTTTTGAATAATTTGTATTATACAGGA